ACAGAGCCTCAAGCTATCCCCCTGGGTAGAGTGCCCTGGCATCACAGCTCACAGCAACCTCCAATTCCTGGGCTCAAGCGAGTCTCCTGCCTCAGCCTCTCAAGTAGCTGAGACTACAGGCGCCCACCACAACGCCCGGCCATTTTTTGGTTGCAGCCATCACTGTTGTTTGGTGGGCCCGGGCTGGGGATTCGAACACGCCACCTTAGACGTATGTGGCTGGCACCTTAGCCGCTTGAGCCACAGGTGCCGAGCCCCCAGACTCTGTCTTAACAGCTGCTTCCATGAAGCCCAGCTGCCTTCCCCTGCCCTTTATCTGTGCACCCCAGCCTCTTTAGGTGGGGCTGACCTGTGCCTGTCATCCATCTCAGTGTTGGCCAAAGTGCAGCCTCCTCTCCCCGGGCCTCAGGCTGCTTGCCTCCCTCCCGTTGAGCTCCCTAGCACCCCAGCTTCTCCCCTCCTGTCTTCCAGGCAGACCCCAGGTCATGCTGCCAATGACTACTTCTTAAATCCCTACCTTGGCTTCAGCTACACCTTCCTCTTCTGGATCTCTTCATTAAAGAGTTAATGAGATAGCTAATATTTGCATCCAGAGTATTAGGCATTTTACATGGATTATCTAGTTCCCCTCCCCTCTTAAGACAACCCTAGGAGGAAGATACCATAATTGTTTCTATGTGAGATCTGGGGGCACAGATGTGTGCAGGTTCTGCCCGAAGCCACCCAGCTATGACTAAGAGGCCTCCAGAACTCAGGCCAGGCCTCTATGGTCTCCTTTTCTTCTCCCATCCCCAGGCTCTTGCTGTGGGCTCTTGATTTTTCTCTGTTCTCTCTGGGGATCTCACTCCCTTCTAAAGTTTCACCTCTAGCCTCTGACTGCAGCTTGGACATCCCCTGGGCTTTGGACCACCATCTCCTGTCTCCTGGGACTCTCACATGGGGCACATTGGAGGCATCCTTGACATCTCACTCTCCTTGTCCCACAGCCATCAGGCTGGGACAGTATTCGATAAACAGAGCCTTATATCTTCACACCCATATCCACTGGCACAGTTCAGACATTCCACAATTTAAAAAAAATTATCAGTTTGTTCACATTGTTGTGCAGCCATCGCCACCATCCTTCTCCAATACGTTTTCATCCTCTAAAACTAAAACTCTTGTCCCCATTAAATAATAATTTCCTTCTCCCCTTCCACTCTTGACAACCCTTCTCCTTTCTGTTTCTACAGGTACCTAGAGTAGGGGTAATCCTTCCTAGCCTAGACTTCTGCCCACCCAGTCCCCATGGCTGACACTCCTTTGCAACCCTCTACAGTACTTCAGGCCAATCCAAAGGTTCTGAGTTTTTTTCATTAGTTAACTGGAATTAATTGCCTCCTTACCCATTTACGTCTCATAGTTGGCCTGATATGCAACACCCTCCACACTTTTTTCCCCCATTCCTTAACACGGGGTCTCGCTCTTGCTCAGGATGGTCTCCAGCTCCTGAGCTCCAGCAATCTACCCGCCAGCACTCTCGCTCCTCACTTTCCATGTTGTTTACCCACGTGCCAGTGACGTCCCCAGCACCAGACCAGAGAAGCTAAGTCGAGGTTTACTAATTTCTCCAGAGTCCCAGAGGCAAGCTGGGACCAGCCCCTTCCTCACTCTCAAGCCTCAACCCACAACCCCCCTACCACAAGAGCCTCAGACAGACTATGATCCCAGCCTGTCTCATGACCATGCTAGGCCTCAGTTTCTCCGTATAAAGAATTAAATTTGTAGGCCCGGTCCCTCTTCCCGCCCTTACCCCAAGGGGGTGCTGCCAGGGCGGATCACTACTGCGCTGCTGCTCGCAGATCAAACAGGTCCGGATGCCCTTGCAACCGCATTGCTGAAGGACCTCAGACACATCCACCGCTGCAGCAGCGGCCGCAGGGGCAGCCATCGCGCCGTCCGAGCGACCACGGCGCAGGCGCGGGACCGCGCTGGGGGTGCTGGGAGTTGTAGTCCGCGCGTGAGGAACTAGGTCTTGGCTTCGCTTCCTTCCGGTCGTCAGAACCCGCGGGCGCACCAGTGGGCTCGGCAGCTCACGGACTCCACTGGACTCCACTGTAGGAGTACCGGGCTCTACCAGACGGCGGGGTCGCCGAGTGGGCCAGTGTGTGGGCCGCACCTCTTCGCCATGGGCCCCCTCTCACCGCAGCTGCTGATGGAGCGCGGGCGCCCCAAGAGCAACCGGCTGGGGAAGATCCGGAGCTTGGAGTAAGAACCGGGCCCGGGGCGAGGCTGTGTCCGCGGAGCCGGGACCCGCCGCACGCCACCGCGGTCTGGGTCGCTGGGCAATCGGGAGGCAAAGTTGGGACCCTTTCCCACTCCCTTCCCGTCCCGGTTATCGCCCTTTCGCTTTGGCAGAGTTGCGCCTAACGTCTTCTTGTAAAGAGATGCCCAGGATCTCTCCCACACTACTTATTGGGTGGCAGCTGGGGACATAGCCTTGCAAAAAGAGAATATTGGGCAACCTGTTGCTGTCATAGGGGGCCAGGGAAGCCAGAGGAGCCCCCAGAGGATCAGGAAGAGCATCCTGGAGGGGCTATGCTGCTCCTAGTTCTAAAGTAGTTACAAGATTTTTTTCAAAGGGGCATGGGGGATGCTGCACATGTACAAGAAATTCCTGCCACCCCTGAGCCCTTCCTGTCTGCCCCCGCCCAGCCTTTCCGGGCTGAAGCTGCTCTCAGAACACCTGGACCCCAAGCTCTTGTGCCGCCTGACACGGCTGCAGGAGCTGGATCTCTCCAACAACCAGCTGGAGATGCTGCCTGACAACCTGGGCCTTTCCCGCCTGCGAGTCCTCCGCTGTGCTAACAACCAGCTGGGGGATGTTACTGCCTTGTGCCAGTTCCCACAGCTTGAAGAGCTCAGCCTGGAGGGCAACCCCTTCCTGACAGTAAGTGGGGGTTCCTACCAACCCAGCGTGGGGGTCAGGACTCTTGGGCTCACTCTCCTCAGCCCCTGAGCACTGTTCCTTCACTCCTCCAGGTCAATGACAACCTGAAGGTTTCTTTTCTTCTGCCCAAACTCCGTAAGGTCAATGGCAAAGATGCATCCTCAACCTGCTCTCAGGTGGAAAACCTGAACCGAGAACTGACCAACAGGGTAAGGGAGGTGGGAAGTTTATCATGGTGTACTTGCAAGCTGTAGGAGTCGCTGAGTAAGGAAGGACAGAATTGGACCTCCAGAATTGAGGAGGGTGACTGACAGGGGCTTTTTGCCCTGATAGCGTCTGGCCTGACATGCTGCTCTAAACCTGGCTGTGGTCCTGCCTTGCAGGCCTTGCTGGGGAGGCTTTTCCTGAGCTGTTTCTTTACATTTTTGTGGCGCTGAGGTTTGTGCAGTCTTCTGTGACAGGCTGTAGTTTGGGGAGGCTTCCAGCAGGCAGTGAGATTGAGATACCTACTGCCATGAGATTATGGATAGGGGTCCAGGAGAGCTGGGCTGGGCTAGGCTGGGCTGGGCTGGGTCTGGATCTGGCCCTTCTTCCACCAGGTCACAGCTCACTGGGAGAAGTTCATGGCTGCACTGAGTCCTGAAGAAAAGGCTGAGAAGGCCCAGGCAGACTTTGTGAGGTCTGCTGTCAGAGATGTCCGCTATGGGCCTGAGTCCCTCAGCGAGTTCACCCAGTGGCGGGTATGTCATGTCCCATTGGGGAGGGAGTCAGTTTTCCTGCTCCTTGATGGCTCCCATAGCTCTCACTTAAGCTGGAGATTTCTTTCCATGAGGAGCTGTGGGAATGGAACAGATCAGGGAAGGCAGCCCGTTTGGCTGCAGAGACCCTTCCTGAACTTGGGAAACACAGGTTCCCTCTGACCAGGTGTCTGGACTGTGTCTGGCTTCCTAACCCTGACAGTTTGACCCCATCCAGGTACGGATGATCTCTGAGGAGCTGGTGGCCTCCGGTGGGACACTCGTACATGAAGCAGACAACCCAGAGAGGCCTCTAGAAGCCGCAGCTGCCTCCAAGCCCAGGGTGAGTATGGCCCCTAGAGCTGTGGGGCCTGCCATAGAGGATCCTGGAAATGAGCCCAGGAGTGGGTGCTGGTGACTCAGTTTACTCCCTCTGGGACCCCTGGCCAGTCCTGGCCTCTTACCCCCATGGGGAAGTGCAGTCCAGCCTGTGATAGGAAGGAAGCCCTAGGCAGATGAGCCTGTGGTCACAAGGCCTTCTCAACAGGCCAGGCTGGTGACCTTGAAACGGCTGAAAGATGTCCCACTCAACCTGTCTTCTAATAAGCGGTGGTGTGTCTCCCCACCAGCCCAGGTGGAGGGCAGTCCTAAGGGCTCTGATGGTGGCCAGGTAAGCTGGGGTGGTAGGGAGTGTATGGCATATGAGCCAGGGCTGGGGCAGCTGTGACCACCACCACCACCCCCTGCCTTTTGTCCCCACAGCCTGCCCTGAAGCTGGAGCCCCTGCACTTTCTGCAGTGCCACAGCAAGAACAACAGCCCTGAGGACCTCAAGACACAGCTGTGGGCCTGTGCCTTTGAGCCAGCCTGGGAGGAGGGTGCGTCCTTGGGCAGGCAGGCATTGAGAAGGGCAAGGGCTACAGAAACAGGGCAGCTGGATGGATGGGGATTCAGTAGAGACAGAGGTTAAGAAGCCTCCTCAAAGCCGGGAGGAGGGGGCTGCAGGGAGGAGCTTCACAGATGACATTTCCACTTAGCTGACCCCCTGCAAACTGGGCATTCAGGGGCCACATCCCAGACCGTGGCCACATGTGGTGGGGAGGCTGTGTGCGTGATAGACTGCCAGACGGGCATCGTGCTCCACAAGTACAAGGCACCTGGCGAGGTGAGTGCAGGGCAGTAGACATGCTCCTGCTCTCGTGATGGGGCTGGGGTGGTGGGTCCAAGCTCAGCTCCTCTTCATCATGACCTTTTTATTTTAAATGTTGGGTCTCATTGTTCTGGGCATAGGGCTGCATGCCTGGTCATAAATAGTTTTACGCAGTGACTGCTTTCTCTATTCCCCACCCTGCCCCAGGAGTTTTTCTCAGTGGCCTGGACAGCCCTGATGGTCGTCACGCAGACAGGCCACAAGAAGCGTTGGAGCGTGCTGGCGGCTGCAGGACTGCGGGGCCTGGTCCGTCTGCTGCACGTGCGGGCTGGCTTTTGCTGTGGAGTCATCCGGGCCCACAAGAAGGCCATTGCCACCCTCTGCTTCAGCCCTACCCATGAGACTCACCTCTTCAGTAAGACTCCCTTTTCCTCATCCTAGGGCCCCCCTCAGCACCACCATCTTGTCACCTTAATGGCTCAGTGCTCCACTCTGGGACTTTAGGGAGCTTGGGGCTCTCTGACTTTGGCTTTGATAGGAAGCAGCTGAGTGGGCTACTCTGTATTCTTAGAGTTTTCTCCCAACCTGGGCCACTGTTTTCCCTGTCAATGACCTGGTTGGATACTTCTGGCTCTCTAGGCGTGGTAAATGCATGAGCTACAAAAGATGGCTGCCAGTGCCGGGCATGTTAGGTTAGAGCAGGACAGCAGGGATTCTGAGCCCATGAATCTTCCTGTCTCCTGGCCCCAGCCCTTCCTCCCTGCCTAGAGGGGCAGGCTTTGTGATCATGAGCTGATGCAGCCTGCAGGAGGGAACAGGGCCTCCTCAGGGCTACCTCTTCCTTTGCCCACCCCTCCTCAGCGGCCTCCTATGACAAGCGGATCATCCTCTGGGACATCGGGGTGCCCAACCATGACTACGAATTCCAGGCCAGGTGATGCTTCTGGCAGGTCTGGGAAGAGGCTAGCTGCTGGGGTGGTGGGCACCTGGGTCTGCAGACTTATGCTCTCCCACTGGCCTTCCCACAGTCAGCTGCTCACACTCGACACCACCTCCACCCCACTGCGCCTTTGCCCGGTTGCGTCCTGCCCAGATGCCTACCTGCTGGCAGGCTGTGAGGGGGGCTGCTGCTGCTGGGATGTGCGGCTGGACCAGCCCCAAAAGAGGAGGTAAGACTGCAGGTGGGAGTGTCTCAAACCTGAGCTGGGAAGCTGTCATCTAGGTGGGCTCACGTCAGCCAGGGCACACCACACTCTCTGCCCTGGGTAGTCCTGGGCACTGTTTTCAGAAACCTTTTTGCAGAGCTGGCCTGTCCCTACCTCCTGCTAGGTTTCCAAAAGGACCTTGTGGCCCCTTCCTTACCCTGGTGTTTCTGGGACTGGGTTGTAGTCACCTCACCTATACTTGGAGCTTCAGCACTGTACTATGCCCAGATGATCAAATCTAGGTCCTGCCACTCATCAGCAATGTGACCTTTCTGTCCTAGCGTAATATCCTCATCTGTAAAGGAATGATAACTTGCATCCCACAGCTAGCAGAGGGCAGGCAAGATGGTATCTGGATAAGGAAGAGGCTGGAAATGCAACTCTGAGCCTTTGTGGCTCATCTGTAGCACCCAGAAGGCCCTGAGATGGTGGCTGGCCTGGGGTCCCTGCTCTTCTGTGGCCCATAGTCCAGTGGCGGAGATAGGCACTAAGCACAGGTGGCTAATTAAAATCCCACAAAGTGGCTCAGCACCTGTGGCTCAAGTGGCTAAGGTACTAGCCACATACAACTAAGCTGGCGGGTTTGAATCTAGCCTGGGCCTGCCAAACAACAATGACGACTGCAACCAAAAAATAGCGAGGTGTTTTGGCAGACACCTGTAGTCCCAGCTACTTGGGAGGTAGAGGCAGGAGAATTGCTTGAGCCCAGGAGTTGGAGGTTGCTGTGAGCTGTGATGCCACAGCTCTCTACCTAGGGTGACAGCTTGAAGCTGTCTCAAAAAAAGGCTCAGCACCTGTGGCTCAAGTGGCTAATCACCAGCCACATACACCTAAGGTGGCGCATTCGAATCCAGCTCAGGCCTGCCAAACGATGACAGCTGCAACCAAAAAATAGCCGGGCATTGTGGCGGGCGCCTGTAATCCCAACTACTTGGGAGGTGGAGGCAGGAGACTCGCTTGAGCTCAGGAGTTGGAGGTTGCTGTGAGCTGTAATGCCACAGCACCCTACCCAGGGGGACAGCTTGAGACTCTGTCTCAAAAAAAAAAAAAGTCCACAAAGTGTGATGTCAGCTACAGAGCAAGAAGAGTAATGGGGGGTCCCACTTTTTACTGGAGGCTAAAGAGACTCTGCTGAGGTGACCAATGACAAATGGGTAAGTTCTAGGGCTCATGATTTCCTGTGGGGCTAGGGGCAGGGAGGTGCTCAAAGAGGGAATAGCATGTACAAAGGGCCAGGGGCAGGGAGAGCTGGCTGAGTGGGATGGATGTTTGGCCACTGCTTGGCAGGATGGGTAGAACTGGCCTAGAGTGAGGCAGTGAGTCTGCCTAGCCCCAGGCATGCCAGGCTTTGTTGGCCATGGTAAGCAGTACAATGAACAGTCCGGGAAGAACGCAGGGTAGGTGGCATGACTGAAGGAGCCATGTAGAGGAAAGCAGCAGTAGCCTCCCCAGAGACAGTGGCAATGGCAGTGTCCTGCCAGGTGCTGGTGGCCTCTGGCTTGCCTCACCCAGCAGCCCCTGGGTCTCCCACTTCCCTCCCTTCTTCTGCCTGGTTGCCATGTCCTGCAGTGTTTCTCCCCTGTGCCTAATGTATCTGCTGCTCTCTCCCTTCTGCTGCATTGTCTGGAACCCACCCGGTAGTTGGGTGTTTGGCTGCCTTCTGGTTCCAGATTGGCTTCTCCAAGCCAAGGTGATACCCTCCCCCCTCCATGCTCAGCTTTGAAAAACCTAGCAGCCATTCCCCACTGCCCTCCATGTCAGAGCAAATCCTACCCACACCAGCCAAGCCCCCAGGGCAGGCCTGGAAACACCAGCCTTGCTCAGCTGCCTGGGGGACTCTGTTCACCTCACATGTAGTCCCAGAGGCTCCAGAACCTTTCCTGACCACACTGCCCACCCCTATCCTTGAAGAACAAGCCCCTTGTGCTTCTGGATTCCTACTACTGTGACTCAGGACACTGAAGTGCTGGCTCTACCTTTCAGAGCAAAGCTGATTCTCTTCAGCACCAAGAATGCAGCTTTTAGAGGTGACATCTTCCAACCTTCACTCAGGGCCTGACCCAAGCAGGTGTTCTGCAGATATGTGAGTGAACGAGCAGTTCTTTGCATGTGCAAGCAGTGCCCAGCCAGTGTCTTCTGCCCACAGGGTGTGTGAAGTGGAGTTCCTCTTCTCTGAGGGCTCTGAGGCATCTGCACGGAGAGTGGATGGGCTGGCATTCCTGAGTGATGATGTAGTGGGTGAGTGAGCCTGGCTTGGGGGACAGCCTGGCCTTCAAGCACCCAGATAGGTTGCTTTTCCCTGGGTTTAGGCCTGAGGGGTTCTGAAGCATCTCTAATATGGAATAGAAGTGCAGCCCAGGCACAGTTCTCCATTCTCCCTCACAGCCTCCAAGGGGAGCAGTCTTGGCACCATCTACCTGTGGAGCTGGAGCCAGACGTGGGTGGGCCGGGGCAGCCAGACCACAGTAGCAGTGGTTATCCTGGCCCGGCTGCAGTGGTCACCCACTGACCTGGCCTACTTCTCGCTCAGCGTTTGCCCTGGTGAGCCCACCCACCTACCCCATCCCACCCTGTTCTTCCTGGAGCTCTGCCCCACCTTAGGCTCCCACCTTTGTCCTGGCAGATGAAGGCATCGTGCTGTGTGGGGATGAAGAGGGCAGCGTGTGGATCTATGATGTCAAGAATGTCTTGAAGCAGCCTCCTCTGCTGCCAGCAGCCCCTACACAGGTACTGTCCAGCTTACTCTTGCCCATGCCAATGCTGGCACTGCTGTAGTAGGAGAAGCCCTGGTTTCTGGGAAGCAGGTGCCCAGCCCACCCCCTCTCTCTTCCCATCAGATCCTTAAGTGGCCACAGCCCTGGGCCCACAACCAGACGGTGTCCAAGACCATGGTGAACACAGTGGTGGCCAACCCCACTTTTACCTACCTCACTGCTCTGACAGACTCCAACATTGTCGCCATCTGGAAGAGACAGTAGCCTCAAACAGGAGCTCCTGCCTTTATCACAAAGTACTAGGACATGACTTAACTTATTCAGTTTTTAGGCTGGTGATGTTTTTATCAATGAGTATTTTTCATTAAACTCTCTACTATGGGGCAGTGCCTGTGGCTCAGTGAGTAGGGTGCCGGCCCCATATACCAAGGGTGGCAGGTTCAAACCTGGCCCTGGCCAAACTGCAACAAAAAAATAGCCAGGCGTTGTGGCGGGTATCTATAGTCTCAGCTACCGAGGCAAGAGAATTGCCTAAGCCCAAGAGCTGTAAGTTCCTATGAGATATGATGCCAGGGAAATGAAATGAGACTCTGTCTCTTAAGAAATTCTCTACTAGGCTTGGCGCCTGTGGCTCAAGTGGCTAAGGCGCCAGCCACATACACCTAAGGTGGTGGGTTCGAATCCCCAGCCCGGGCCCGCCAAAGAATGGTGGCTGCAACCAGAAAATGGCCAGGCGTTGTGGCGGGCGCCTGTAGTCCCAGCTACTTGGGAGGCTGAGGCAGGAGACTTGCTTGAGCCCAGGAGTTGGAGGTTGCTGTGAGCGTGATGCCATGGCACTCTACCCAGGGGGATAGCTTGAGGCTCCGTCTCAAAAAAAAAAAATTCTCTACTATGGTGCGGCACCTGTGGCTCGATGGGTAGGGCCCCAGCCCCATATACCAAGGATGGTGGGTTCAAACCCTGTCCTGGCCAAACTGCAACAAAAATATAGCCGGGTGTTGTGGCTGATGCCAGTAGTCCCAGCTACTTGGGAGGCTGAGGCAGGAGAATTACCTAAGTCCAGGAGTTGTGCTGTGAGCTGTGACACCACAGCACCCTACTGAGGGTGATAAAGACACTGTCTCTAAATAAAAAAACAAATAAAAACTCTACTATGGACAAGAAGCTGTGGAGAGCTGTCAGCAGCTATGAGGGGCCTACCCTGTGTTCCTACTTAAAGACAGGAAGACCTGGCAGCTGAGGCTTCTAGGACACATTCATGGTAAGTTAAGGGTTCTTACAGTTCTCTTCTGTTCAAGGTTGCCTCCCTAAGCTCCCAAGTTCTGATCCAGAATGAGTTTGTCCCTGCCAACCTCTCAGAAATCAAGGTCTTTGGGCCAGTCCACTCCTTGAAATGTGGTCCCAGAGTGTCTGAAACATCTGCCTCCATGGAACCTGACAATCCATTTTTTTTTTTTTGAGACAGAGTCTATGTTGCCCTCAGGAGAATATCATGGAGTCACAGCTCACAGCAACCTCAAATTCTTGGGTTTAAGTGATTCTCTTGCCTCAGATTCCCAAGTAGCTGGGACTATAGGCACCTGCCACAACATCCGGCTATTTTTTATTGTAGTTGTCATTGTTCAGCAGGTCTGGTATGTGGCCAGTGCCTTATCCACTGAGCTATGGGCACCAGGCTGACCATCCACTTTCTTGTGGCGTCATCTCTACTTAAGCCCACATTATCCTGCCATACTTTATTAGGTAGATTAAAAAAAAAATCTATATACAGGCCCCATCAGTGTCAGAAGAAAGAGGTTCACAGAATAGCTACAAGGAGGGTCATAACTGCCACAACTGGGACTGGCCACTCTCCTCTGCTTGGTGCATGGAAAGAAGATAGGAACTGGGCTTACAGGCTAAGCAAAGAGCCTTCCAGCCCACTACTCAATTCCTTCTTGCTTGTCTTTAATAGCCACCTAGAAGAGAAGAAGAAAGCAGTGACTTAGCAGGGTAGCCAGGGCAAGGAGGTGGAAACAACCCCAGCATCCCCAGACCAAAGTCCACTTAGAAGCTGCTGCCGTGTCCTCCTGAGGGCAACCACAGGCTATACTCTACAGGAGACTAAGCAAGGCAGCAAACCAGGCCCCAGACAGCTCCAGAGAGCTGAGTGGCTAGTAGCTGGAAGGTACCTCTGAACTGGCTCCCCTGCCCTGTTCTCTGCAGCCTGGGGCTGGAGTCAGATATAGCAGGGCCCCTTCCTGGTGTACAGAAAGCTTAGGCACTAAGCACCTCACAAGGCATGGCTCTTGCCTACTCTAAACTGTTCTAGATGCTGAGATAATCACCCACCCCACAACAGGTGTGACCTCCCCCCATACTGGGATGAGTTGCCTGCAAGATATAGACAAATACCTGGAAGGTGTCAGGCCTTACACACTAGAGCTGCCAGCACCAGACAAGGAACTTGGAAGAGCAGCCCAGAGGCAGTAGGTCCTCTACCTCTGTGAGGACTGTAAGAACAGCACATAAGGAAGGCACTAGGTAATGTCCCTACCTATGGGGCAGACAGCAGGCCATACTCCAAAACCCTTTAGTCTACACTTTCTATCCTTGTTCTGTCATTGCTGCCCCTGAGGAAGCAGCCTAGTTGTAGGCATGTGGACACTTCAGCCTCAAGCACACTGGCAGTTCCAGTGCCCCTGCCTGCCCCTCAGCTGCACCCCAGGCTACTCACCCGGAACCGCTCTTCCAGTAGGGACAGCTCACTGATGAGGTCAGTGATGGCATTAGTGAAGGCCTCCTGGGGGCTATAGTCTGGTGTGGTCTGCACTCGGATGATGATCTTGTGCTCCAAAGGGTGGGGGACTTTGTAGCCAGCAAAGAGCACCTGTGGATCCTTCAGCAGCTGTCTGAGATAACAGGGTTGGGTAGTATGAGGGGGGCTGAGCCTCTGGCCCAAACCCCTGGCTACCATGCAGCCCTCAGCTCATGGCTCAAGAGTTTTCTAGCCAGAATTTTCTCTTCTAAATCTTCAAGTAAAACACTTTCAAGAAGATTAACTAGGCCAGGCGCAGTAGCTGACACCTGTAATCTCAGCACTCAGGGAGGCTGAGGTGGGTGGATTCCTGAGCTCAGAGTTGGGAGACCAGCCTGAGCTACAGCAAGACCCTGTGTCTAAAAATAGCTGGGCTTTTAGCCTGCAGCCCTGAGTCCCCAGGAACTCATGGCGACGCCCCCTAAACGGTGGGCAGTGGAAGCCATGGGGGAGATAGTGCTGCGCTATGAGACTTTCATCAGCGGGACCTGAGAAAGGTGCTGGACTATGGAGACCAGGTATATGAGCAGCTGGCTAAATACCTTCAACTGAGAAATGTCATTGAACAACTCCAGGCCAGATACTTCACAAATCTATGTGGCCCTGGAATATGGTTTTTTCCCTGGAGTTGACACTGGCAGAAGCCCTCCAGTTCACTGATTGTTAAGAGTTCTCTCGGCTTGGCGCCTGTGGCTCAAGCGGCCAACGCGCCAGCCACATACACCTAAGGTGGCGGGTTCGAATCCAGCCTGGACCCGCCAAACAACAATAATGGCTGCAACCAAAAAATAGCCAGGCATTGTGGTGGGCGCCTGTGGTCCCAGCTACTTGGGAGGCCCTGGCAGGAGACCTCACTTGAGCCCAGGAGTTGGAGGGTGCTGTGAGCAGTGAAGCCATGGCACTCTACCCAGGGTGACAGCTTGAGGCTCTGTCTCAAAAAAACAAAAGAAAGAGTTCTCTCCTCACAGAGCTCAGCAACAGCCTCACCAAGGACTACATGAATGTCAAAGCCCATATCCACATGTTGCTAGAGGGGCTTAGAGAACTACAAGGCCTGTAGAATTTCCCAGAGAAGCCTCACCATTGACGTATTTCCATCATTCTCCAACATTAAAGACCCTGAATACCCCCCCCCAAAATAATAATAATAATAGCCAGGTGTTGTGGCAGCTGCCTATGTCCCAGCTACTTGGGAGGCTAATGCAAGAGAACCTTCTGAACCCAAGAGTCTGAGGTTGCTGTGAACTATGATGCCATGGCACTCTACCAGGAGTAACAAAGTAAGACTTTTTTTTTATTGAGACAGAGCCTCAAGCTGTCCCCCTGGGTAGAGTGCCGTATCATCACAACTCACAGCAACCTCCAACTCCTGCGCTAAAGCGAGTCCCTCCTGCCTCTGCCTCCCAAGTAGCTGGGACCACAGGCACCTGCCATAACGCCTGGCTATTTTTTTTGGTTGCAGCCATCGTTGTTTGGTGGGCCCGGGCTGGATTCGAACCCGCCACCTTATGTGTATGTGGCTGGTGCCTTAGCCACTTGAGCCACAACACCAAGCCCAAAGTAAGACTCTTGTCTCAAAAAAAGAAGACAGACCATGGGCAGCACCCATGGCTCAAAGGAGTAGGGCGCTGGCCCCATATGCCAGAGGTGGCGGGTTCAAACCCAGCCCCGGCCAAAAACTGCAAAAAATAAAAATAATAAAAAATAAAAAGAAGATAGACCATGTGGAGACACCCCCCCCACCTCCTGCCCTATGTGCATGGACACACAAACATATACCCTGCATCTGTGAGGATCAAGATCTAGCTGTAAGTAGGTTCCAGCAACTTCTCTCAGGAAAAGCCAGAAACCCTGCTGACAGAGACCTCCCTAGGCAGTAGTGTCCAGCCATATTCAGTAATTAGAGCACAAAGGCCCCTAAGAGCATCTGTACCACAAAAAAAAAAGGGGGTGAGGGTCAGGAGAAGGGCCCAGGCTCTGAGTGGTCAGTGAATGCAATCCCAAGTCTTCTGCATCACAGGGGCTGGTCACACACTGGGCCCTGTTCTATGATGCTTTATTGTGGATTGTGCCCTGCACATGCAGGGGTATCCTCTAGACAGCTCAGAGTCAAGTGTGAGCACCATAAGGGAGAGAGCCCTTGCAGAGTAGGGACACCAAAAGAGCCTGTGCACCCTCCTGGCTTCACCCCAGGCAGGAGTCCTCCAGGTTGTGGTAGATATCTCCACATCTCCCTGCACCAGGAGACAGAGTCCTTGAGAAAGGCCTGGCTGGCTCAGTGCCTGTGGCTCAAGTGGCTAAGGCGCCAGCCACATACACCTAAGGTAACGGGTTTGCATCCAGCCCAGGCCTGCCAAACAACAATGATGGCTGCAACCAAAAAAAAAACCAGCCAGGCATTGTGGTGGGCACCTGTGGTCCCAGCTACTTGGGAGGCAGAGGCAGGAGACTCGCTTGAGCCCAGGAGTTGGAGGTTGCTGTGAGCT